TTTAAACTAGTTCAAATTTTGCAGCTATGCCGAGTGAAAGCTATGTGACAGCTCCGAATGATTCAGCAAAACTATAAGAATTGTTTTGGAACAATATTGCATAATAATACTTGAAAGTTCTGTAAAGACACCCACGCTTTAAAAAAAACTCGCTTTTTATCATATTTTACCTTCCAGGTCCTGATGAAAAATGGACTTTTATTCTCGAGACCACTACCCCCTGTTAACACCCATTCAGAATTAGTACAATGTAGGACACAGGTCAGTTCACACACACTCCACACCCCAGAAGAGGACTGGAACTGAAACTTTTTCCCCAATGCATAAATAATCATCAGTACCAGCTAGTGGGGATGAGACTTGTATTAAAATATGAACATACCACTGACGTCGCAATCGCATGTGTAATACAGTGAAGAGGCTATCGTCTTTCACAACCTTACCCAAGGTCAGATAACAGCTGTTTGAATAGAAAGAATTGGCACCTGCTCCTGACGCTCTGTGGATACTTACGCAGGGGCGGATCCAGGATTATTTGAAGGGGGGTCGGCGGATCCTCCCCCCAGCGGAAGGGCCCCGAAAACTTTTGGTGTTTTAGAGGGCGAACGGTGCCGTTTGGTACGGTTTAAAACTATGATTCAGGTAATCAAAATACTAATTTAAGAGGGGACCATAAATCGAAGGGGGGGGGGGGCAGGACTCCCCTGACCCCCCTTTAAACTCCCCACTGTTACATACATAAGATTTCTTATGTTAAAGCATATACTGTATGTGTATAAACAGTTTATTATGCTGGCCGGTGGATCTAAATCTATATAGAATGTTATATTTTTAAAAAGAAATTACGAAGGTACGAAAAAGTCAGTATAAAATGAAAAGCGACTAAAATACATGTGAGTACCAGATGGAATTTAATCGACTGGGGGAGTTAGTTATTTGAGAGTGGACTCAATATATCGGATGACACATCCGCCGTGGACTGGTGACAAAGCAATCATGTTTTCTATTTATTGCCATCACTGAATCATTTTCCATCTGAAGCTTTTTAATTACTGTTTAGGAGCCAAGGTTAAATGTGGGGGAAAAATCAAAGACGTCGCATATCTAATGTACTGAATGCGCCACAAGTTTCTTTTTGCCCGTATGTTTTGCAAATCAAATCCTTATTGCCTGCGTAATAAATCGCTTTAATTACGTTCTATCTTCTGTATTGGAGAATTTCATTTAGTACGTCAAATGAAACACTGCTATTTGGAAAACTGGTAATTTCTCATCTAAGGCATACGGATAGCACTAGAAATATTTTAAATAAAGAGCGTGTGTCAGGACTGATTCCACAAAAGCATACATTTCTTATACTCTATATTTTAATGTGATTGTTGGCATCCATTGTAGGTCGCATTCACAATAGCGGATGAAATAAGCCGGCCAATGTAAATCTTGCCGTCTAATCGCCTAATAGACAGTGAATAGATTTTCCGTGGGGGAAAACGCAACCAGCATTGAAGTGAGACAGCCATATTTGATCCGCGGACTAGTTGGACCGCAGTTGTGAATGCGGCCTCACCGAAATATGTAAATATAGGTAAATTCGATTCCCTTGGCAAGGAGCATGTTATCTTATGATGTCGATCGCCCCATCTTTTCTCTGTATAGTTTCTCACGACGACGTCTATATATAGATATCGAAACCAGTTATTATATTCCTTTTAATTGTTGCCCCCTAGCAATCAGTTTACTTTAAAAAACACCTCCCTGCGCGTATTTGGTTTTCAACATTGCTTCCCTTTACAGTCTATACTTACAGCTTCACTCATGGTTCCCAGCAGACAACGGTTCCTAGCAGACTACGGTTCACAGCAGGATGACATTCCTGTCACACCTGGTCTAGTTTCAAATGTCTAACTAAACCCAATGTCTTAAATGTCGATCCATGTGACTTATTGTGCCTCAGATGGCTCAGTAACATCACCCTTACTACGTGTGAGTGTTTTATTATCTGTCCACATTTCAGTCTCCTGCTCAACACCTGTCTCTCCATCAAAACATCCCTGTCTGAGGTACATTTCTTCAACATTTCAATCCATGTCACCCCTATGGCCATTTACACCACTTGTGTTCAAACATATTAAAATATATTTCTCCAAAAAGGTCTGTATTATCCTTTGAAGATCCTTTGTTGAGGCCCTTTGCTGGAAAATTGATGAAATCGAACACAGCAGTACCATGCAGTTTATTAAACCATAAAAGCTACCTTTGACTTTGCTCACCTATTTGTGGTCAGGGAATATTAACTGTGAAGCTGATAGCAGTTGAACTGAACGTTGTAGCTCTGTTCACCGTGTAGATTTTTACTGTTTCATATGTGTCTGTACATTTACATGCAAGGTTGATTTTTCTCATTATTAAGTGAATAAAATAAACACAGATCCTATTTATACAATTACCTACCTTGAAATACAGGTTTTTACAGTCCAATCTTTAAGAAATACCTAATACGTGATTATGTTCTTATCTCATTATACATTTTTTCGAGCATCAATTAATGGGTGAATGCAGAGCAAGTTGATCCGCGGACTAACAAATCCTGCTGATCCAACATGGCCGACCAACCCGAAAGCTTGCTGCATAATGCTTTAAAAGACACTGAAATGATTCCCCACGGGGATTACGAGGTTGGCATTCAAGTGAGTCGGCCATTTTTGAACATATAATTTGTTTGTCTACATATCAGCTTTGGTTGTGAACGCCGCCAATTTATCATTGGCCCATTCAGAATAGATGATCCGAGGACTAACTGATCCGCCGACCAATTATTGCTGACCACACTTCAAAACCGACGACTCGTGNCAGAATTACGAGTTGAAACAGCGTTGGAAGGAACAGATTTATGCACTACATGTATGTAAATAAACGTGCGTTATTTATTATTTACAACTTCAAGCATTTTCACATGATTATTTTGAAATGAATGTTTAATACAGATAACATGTTTCAGGGTGTCGACATTGGCTTATATTATTTATAAATGGGCAAAACAATCCGTATTATCATATACTGTAGGCCTACACATGTACCTGTTATATAACCGAGTATACTTTTTTTTTTTTTTTTTTTTTTTTTTGCAATAAAGATAAACTGTTTTATTTTTATTTTGTTGTATGCTTGAAATGCAGGTATATCATTTTACTGAGATATGTGTATATTTCATTCATCAAGTTGACAGACCCAATAATTTTCAGCTTTCTTTGTATTTTCCATTATGTTTTGGTGGTCATTTTGGATATTATAATAATATATATTAATATTGATATTTATACTGTATCAATATTTAACCCTCTTGAGAATAAATTATTATTATTATTATTATTATTATTATTATTATTATTATTATTATTATTATTATTATTAAATTCCAAAGGTGAGCATATAATGCCTAGGCGAATTGCCACCTTTATTTATACTGTATCAATATTTAACCCTCTTGAGAATAAAGATGTTTAAAAAAAAAATTTGGATTTTACCTGCTCAAACAGCATTTCTGAGATCCAACGACAAAGTTCACAGAAGTTCTTATAGGAGTTCCGACTTGGCGCGTGTGGTAGGAGAGGAGACCATTCGGGGATTATGCAACATTGCTTTCAAGGGGAATAGGCCATACATGTATTAGTTAGTCTACAGATCAGCTGTTGTGACATCGGCCTAAATTAGTCTTAAAATAGTATGATTTACAGTAGCAGGACAAAATTTGGACGCACTCGTTTTCGAGGGCCATTTTGATCACACTTCAAAAAGGCCCGAAGTCAGTTTGAGATATTGATAAATCAACGTTAATCAACCTCTTAATATGGTGCAAATGGTTATATTCCTAATTTCGCAGAAACAACACAATCAGATGTCGTACTGCGGAGTCTGTTGGCGGTGACTGATTGGGATGCAGCACAATTGCAATTTGCTGAGGTAGACTTTGATGCAAGGAGGGAGCGGGCGGTTTCAATTAAATATCGTCATGTGTAAATTTGCTGACCAACTGAATCAAACTCTTTCACCCACGGCACAGTGGCGGGTACAGGGGGGGGGGGGCAGATGGGTCAGAATGGTCCTGACCCCCTCCCCCCTTCAATTTCTGGAAAAAAATTACACTTGACATTACAATTTTGACTAGCGGAGTCATTCTTCTAAACCGTACCAAATAACACCGTTCACAATCTACAATACCAAAATTTTGGGGTCCTTAAACCACGTTTAAGGAGAGGGGTTGAGGGTTGGCTTTGCATCCGCGTACATGTACCCTCCCCCCCCCCATTCAAATAACCCTGTGGCACCCTCCGACGGTGCCTCCTCTCCCCCCCCCCCCGACCCCCAATGAACCGGTAAATATACCACATGCGGCATTATTTTTACCCTATCATCGTCCACTCTCCCACTGTGCCACTCCTGTCCACCGCATCTCCCAGTACAGCGTTACTTTTAATTTTTTCAAAAGGTCATTCATTATAATTATTATTATTATTATTATTATTATTATTATGCCATGACCGTTCGTGGTCATTTTGAAAATCAGAGCACCGATGGGGTCACTTTCCATGACCACGCGTTGCATGGCTACTGTTGATCATGAGGGCAGTTATCATTTTTCTTATTGTAACATAGACTCCGTTCACATGAAAATTCCGACTCCGAGCGCAGCCGAGAATTAATTACAGCTTTGGAAGAAACTGGCTCGCGCTGCCAGTAATTACGCCGCGGGGTATTCAGGGCACAGACCGTGATCACAAGATACCGCAAATAGAAAATAGATTTTTAGAAAATAGATTTTGCATGTGAACGGTCCCTTACACTGTAGCTGCAACTTCCTTTTTTCAACAATTTCCTTTACAAGTAAGGAATGCCATCAACAACTTTTTAACCTCCTTTATTCAAGATTAAGCAAAGCTAAAAGAAAGAAATGACCAAGACTTCATTAATAAACACAATCTTTTTTTATCATTTCACTCATTTTAAATATTAGAAATTAGCACACAGAACTTCAGAATATCTCTCTAACCCTCTCACTTAACACGTTCATGCATTAAAGATTGTTACATTTGATTGAAGTTTTAAATTTAAATCCCTCTTATATGTCATACAATAATTAATAATTATGTCTACGTTTGAATAAAAATAAACACCATAAACTCGTATATGTTATACACACATAAGCTCCCCGCCTTGGCAAAATAATGTGGAACAGGAAATAAACCAGTCCTTCGCTATAACTAATAACTAAAGAAACATTCCAATCAAAATCCAACATAAATATGGTGAACAGAAACATTCCTATTAAGACTAATAAATACATATGTATATACCAAGGTAAATTATTGAGACCTAAAAATATATGCCATTTTCCCTCACTTGAAGAATTCCACATTTAAAAACATTGCCTCAATATCACATTTACTTACCACAAATATTCTGTCCATTCAAAATTGTTTACTTAAAAGAATGTTTTAATTTGAATCCCTCTAATATATCAAATGTAAATACTAATTTAGTCCACATTCCAATAAACATGTTATGGAAAAATAAGATATTAAACAGCCACATACATTATATGCCCAACAAATAATTTACCATAAGCACCCTGTCTATTTCAAAAAAAAAATAAATAAATAAATAAATGTATTAATATCATGACAACAAAAAAGACCCCATTGGCATATACAGTATAACTGACCAATCATTCTACCGTAATTGAATGTCAATGTGCATAATTAAATCAAAAAGTGACTTAATTATAAAGATCCAAGAATCAGGCATTTTTGTTAAATGAAATTGCAGTTCGCGTTCCCCATTTTCATTGATCGTATTCTTATGGATTTCACTCCGGTCTGTCATCTCTGTTTACCTACACGTTTTCTTTGTCCTATTTCATGTTTAATTTATCCTTGTTCATGTCTCTTTTATCATCGTCAGCATTCAAACTTTGTCAGAATTCGTCCAAGATTCAAATTAAGAAAGGTGTCCAGTTCTGGAAGGGAGCAGGTGCCTCCAAATTAACACAGTCGTTGTCCGGGTTGCCATTGAAGTCCCCGCAAATACCACGTATTGCATCTAGACCACCGGCGGCCCACCAGCCGTCTGCATATATCTTAACACTGTGCCGATGGACAGCAACATACAGGTAGGGGAACATGGTGCTCTGAATCTCGTAGGTTTTTTCTATGCCATAATAAGAAACCCGAACATCACCATCGGCAGAGAAATACATTTTTGGTAAGTCTGGGATACCTATGGGAAGCCATGCACCGCCAAACCAAACCTGTAAGCGAAATGCAAGAAATATTAGCATAACACAATGACTTATCTGTTGTGAACATTTCGATTACAAATGTAGAACAGAGATAACAATGACCACGGCTCTGGATTGTTTTGCTTAGAATTCTGACGCGAGAGAGAGAGAGAGATAAAGAGAGAGAGAGAAAGAGAGAGAGAGAGGTGGAATCAGGAACGTAGAAAATTGCTAGCACCAAGAAGTGTTCGCTGTATTCAATATTATTAGAAAGAAGACTCACAAACAAGTCGACATCCGACCCCAATGTAGCTCTGAAGTAAAGATCAATTGGAAACTTCACGTATACTTCTTTGATGCGTGTGGCCACGTCACCTGGTTTACGTAACTCATGCTCCGTCATCACCCACGTGCGGTTACCTCTCCAGGGCAAGAACATTACGCCGTATTGACCAACAGGAGAGTTGTACGCAAAGGTTTTGTGATCGAAAGTGTCGTACCTAACATCGCCGTGAGCCAAACAGACAGAATCCGCAACTACATAAACAAAAACAATAATATAAACCAATTTTAAATTCCTTATGCTATCTGTCATAGAATACGTGTTTTAGTTTCAAATTGCTAAAGCAATAGTATTAATCAAGGTTCTTGCTCTGCTGCGTAAAAAGTGAAAAGGGTGAAAATTATTTTTTCAATTATGCCGTTTCGCTTCCACCCCACACCAACAGATATTTTCAAAGCTCGAGATAATGAAATGGTCATAGCTTTTTGAAGCCTCCGACGGATGTAAAATAGATATTTTTCTCCTGTTATACGTAGATTATTTAATACTTCATTTTAGTAAAAAAAAATACCCTTTTGACTGAAATGATAAACATTTGAGTGATTAGAACATATTTTAATCTCGTTTTAAGGCACCTCTCTATTTCACAAATAGCGGACGTTAAGCACTTGCATGCCAAAACGTCCAACATATTTTTCGGTTGCCGCAATCACAATGAACCTGCATAACAGTAATCGTCAATCAAACGCGTCCTGTATTAAGCCCTTTGCTACTACTTACGTACGCCTGGTCCTTCTGGAAACGGTGTTGTGGAGTCCAAATGAGGTTCCAGCTTTTTGTCAAGCTCTTCGGGAGTAGCAGCGCCATCTACTGTCGCCTTAGGCCCAACGCTAAACAGCACCATGGCCACGACCAGTGACATAAGGCGTCGATCCATATTGAGTAGTTCTTCGGCAAGTTATCTTGGCAGTCGTCAGTGCAGAGATTTTTATACTCCTCAAGTTCATTTAATTTTCATTGAGGCGGAACGTAAACGACCAATGAACGTTCTGATGAATATTAATTTTGACGTCAATTCTACACGCGTTCCGTGTGTCACGTTTTCATTGGCCTATCTAAAATAGGGATGGAGTAAGTTTATTCCAATGACATATTGCTGATTGCACATTATCGATACTGTGCCGAGAACCGTCTGCTCCTTGTATTTTATATGGTACCCGTTAATGAAAATTGATTCTCATTAAAAGTAATCTGATTCTTTTAATAATGATCGGAATTTTTAAAATATCATAATAATACACCGACAGCTTAAGACTGAATTTCGAAAACCTAGCAAATAGGTGTCAAGTGTCTTATTAAAAGTCATATTAGCCGATTGTAGCTTTGTTAACCATATTTGTGGTAAGGGAAAATTTATCTAAAGATACGTGTTGGAGTAATACCAGAACAGCGTACTGATATTGTGCATGACTAAACGCTAACTTACTGTAGTAAAGTAAATTCTTCAAAACATTAAATATATGAACATTAAATTATTTTCCTCAACAATATGGCATAGAGTAAGTCAAAATATTTCAATAACACACCTACAACTTAAAACTAGATATTACATCTATCCTGAGAGGAAAAAAATTGAGTAACAGCTCCAAATAATTCAGCAAAGCTGGGTAGATTTTGTTTGGGACGATATAACAAAACTACATACCTAAGAGTTCCATGAATTAACACATGCTTAAAAAAATTCTCGCTTCTGACATATTTTACTTTCTAGGCCCTAAAGAAAAAAAGGGGACACCCTCTACCCCTGTTAACACCCGGTCAGTTCACCCCCAAAAAAGGACAGGGACTGAAGTTTTAGGGAAGCGTTCTTTCCCAATGCATATATCATCATCAGCAACAGTTTACAGAGATGAAACTTTATTTAAATACGAACATAGCACCGATGTCTCAATCGCAAGTGTAATGTGATGAATAGTTATGGAGGTTTTCGTCTTTCCACAAATCTCGCACAAGGCCAGAGAACAGCTGCTTAAATTTAAAGAATAAGGAAATACTCCTACAGATACTAACATTTACACTTATAGTGACTGTTTATTTTGCTGACAGGGGGAATCTTAATCTACATAGAATGTTATTTTTAGAGAAATTACGAAGGTACTTCAAAGTCAGTGTAGAAAGGCAAGTGTGTAACAGGGGGAGTAAGTTAACTGAGGACTCAAATATCGGAACACACACCCGACGTGGGCTTACAACGGCTTGTTTCCCCTCTTATTGTCATCAGTGAATTATTTTTCAATTGAAGTTTTTTAATTACTGTTTAAGAGCTGAGGGAAAACGTTTCCAAAACAGCAAAGACGTCGCATATCTAATAAAGTGAATGCGCCAAAAGTTTCTATCTGCCCGTATATTTTGCACATCAAAACCTTATTGCCTGCATAATAAACCGCTTTAATTACGTTTTATCTTCTATGTAGGGGAAGTATATCAAATACCTCAAATGAAACCCTTGAACCGTCTGCTCCATGACTTTTATATGGTGCCCGTTACTGAAAATTGATTCTCATTAAAAATAATCTGGTATTTTTTCAACAACGAAGGGAATTTTTTAAATATTATATTAATACACCTACAGCTTAAGGCTAAATTAATATATACATA